AGCAATATTCTTATCACGTCTCATATTATAATGAATTATTAGTTAATTATTATTGTCAATAAAGTTATTTATTATTATTAATTTAAAATCATCATCATCATCATTATTATTATTATTATCATTATTATTATTATTATTATTATTATTATGGGGCATGGGGCAATACATTGCCGTCAATCAAATAAATCGCTAGAGAACACGCCCACAAACATGAACGTTCATGTCACAGTTCGATATCTACATTCCTTAAGAAGCGATTACACGGAGCAATTTTCTCTGCGGCGTTGCGACACAATTTGCATGGAGCATTGCATCTTGTAACCTACAGCGCAATTCGAAAAATGCTGCGAGACAAGTTGCAGCAATCGTTGCGAGAAAAAAAATTTAGTCCCCATTGCACTGTGTAGACAATCTTGCAACTTGTGTCTCGCGTTATGAGACAAGTTGCAGAGAAAATTGCTCCATGTAATCGTGCTTTAGCGGCGGTTTGATAAAAGTGCAAACAAGGGCAAGCTGGGAGCCTTTTATTCACGTACGTTTCCAACGCTGTTTCCGACGTTTTGCAACAATGACATGGAAACACTTTGATTGACGTTCGACCAAAACCTACTTTTTCGCGATGACAAATTAATTGTACCGATATCGAGTGTGATACTTGGGAAACACTGTAAATGTTATTTGTTTAATTATTGATATCTCTTTTCTTCCATTTCGTAGCTCTTGTGGGATCTCTCGCCTTGGGAGCAGGTCTCTTTCTCTGTGTTGTCACTGCTAAACTCTGCGAAAAATTCAATTGTCGTACCGTCAATCGTGTTGGATTAATATCGTTTGTAATGGGATTCGCACTAAGTTCGCTGTGCAACTCCATCTATCCCCTCTACATCACATACAGCTTGCTTAATGGTTTTGCAGGGTCGTGTACTCATACTTCCAATTTCATTTTGGTGAGACAGTACTTCAAGAAACGATATTCCTTGGCTATGGGCATAGTTACAGCAGGGGCAGGAATCGGAATGCTATCGGTTGGTCCTTTGGTGCAGTACTTGACTGACACTCTTGGATGGAAAAACACTTTCCGAGTCTTCGCAGGAATCTTTGGAGCATTCATTCCTTTAACGATTGTTTTAGATCCAAATGTTGAAAGTTGTGAAGAGGTGCCAATTGAAACAGTTATGCAAGAGAATTCTATCGAGAAAGATATTAAGATCAAGCCAAGAAARATTGTATTGGGATTTTTGGATTTATCAGTGTGGACATTTCCAGAGTTCACGATCTCTGTTGTTGCTATTTTCATTGGTTCTTGGGGTCACTATACAACCTTGATTCACATGGTAAGTGATAATGATGACGAATTACGATGATTTTGGGATAATGATACTTTAAAAAGAGCTCGAGATGGATGTTGAAGTTGATGTCAGAGATGATACTGCTGACAATGTTGGTCAAAGTTTTTTGATAGCTCATCTTTTCTCATTTTTAGATCAAATACTCTGAAGAGGTGGGAATAAGCCCAACTAAAAGTTCCACCCTTCTAGTATTCGTTGGCATAGCAACAATCGTCTCACGTCTGGTATCTGGTCGGTTATGTGACGTCAGCTTCATTAAACCAAGATACGTCCACCAATTAGGAATCATCTTATCAGGAATTTCAACCATTCTCTTAACGTTTGCTGTCAACTACACTCATCTGATAATTTTTTCTGTTTTCTTTGGTATTGCTGATGGAGCATTTCGTGTGACGACAAACATTTTATTCATGAACACTGTTGATATTCCACGCAAACCCTCAGCCTTTGGTCAAGCAAATATGATAACCTCATTTTCTAATGCAGCTGGTCCAGCAATAGCAGGTTAGTTTCTCAAGTGTGGGTTATTGGCCCACTTTATTCTGGGAATGGCCATGGTTTTCTGTTTATAATTACCATTACAATAGTTAAGTCAAACTTTGTTTTGCTCTCAGGAATGATGGCAGACAAGTCTGGTTCATATACTTCAGCATTCTACATGGCTGGATCGGTTTCCATTGTTGCAGGCGCCATTTTGTTCCTACATCTGTGCTTCTTCAAAGATCTCACCAACAGACCGCGAGAAGTGGCTCTTCTAGTTCGTGATGAACCAACTTCCATCGAAGCAGGCGAGACATCTCTCGACAAGATGATGACCACGTGCTGATAAAATGGAATTTGCTGCCATGATCCATTATTTTTTACATGTCAAAGACTGTTTAGTTGTGAGTCTCCCGTATGTCCTTAGCGGTATATAGTGTCTTCCATGACGCTGAGAATATCAAGCCAGGTGTACTGGTAACATTCTTTGGTATTCCTGTACAGGGATTTATTTTCTCCCTTCACAAAAAGAACTTCAACACCAGTTTTTGTTTATTGTCTTTCTGTTAAATAAAGTGATTAAACAAAACATAACGTTAACTATCTTTTCATTTGTAACTGTCATATTATGTGCTGCTGTTGCGAATATTTACTCTAGGGTCCTTTAACTATTATGGCCTAATATGGTATCGAGTGCTGAGGAGGAGGGTGGAGAATGAGGTGGGAGGGGGAGGGGAAGGGGGAGGGGGAGGGGAGTGAATAGGGTGACATACTCAAATTTCTCAGTATTATACTTAGAAAGCCTCACATTCCTGGTAAAATCTTAGTAATGGTCACATCCACCTTCATTCGTCCTCGAGGGCTGCATAGTCTTCAAATCTTATTTACATATCCATGTGTATTGCGGTCAATCCTTGGAGTGAAACCTTGGATTACAAGATGGATGTTAATCTCCCCCACAGCTGCTTTCAGTGTCGTCACGCAACGCTTAAAGCGGCTGTGGGGGAGACTAGATGGATGTGCGTCACAAATGACATTATGTATTGTGTGACTTTCTTGGCCCTCGTACAGTTTACTCAAGAGGAGAGTAGATTGACATGGAATGGAGTGACAACTGATGTTAACCTGAATATTAATAAGTCGATCTTTCTTAGTGATCGTATTACACAAAGCAAGACTGATCACCGCAGACTAATCAACAGAGAGCCTTACATTTATGATGAACAGGGATTTCTTTTTGATGAAAGATCGCAAATATTGAAAAGTAAGTAATAATTATTGATCTTTTTCTCTCTCTCCACATGCTTTGATGCTTAAATCTGCAGCTGATTCTCTTAGTTCTGAGTTTCAGCGTCACACAACAAAAGATTGCTTCATTTCTAACAAGATACAGCACTGCGATTAAAGGATGCTTCGTGCACCGGCGTTATTGAGGTTCTCGGTACAACATGTAATATTTATAGATTGTGACAAGGTAGAAAAACCTTACAAACTAGCCTGTTTCGATCGTAGAGGTATTAAATAACATAGATTTTCTTAAGGTCATATTGGTAAAAATGCATGGAGACCGAATTAATTATCTGATCTACGAATAAACATAATTAATATTCGTATATTTGTTTATATTCAAACTAAGTCGCCTCGTGATGACTCGTCAGACGCTATAGATCGAGCAGACTCCATTACATCGAAACGTTTCGACTGTCTTTCATGTTAATTTAATAATATTCGTGAAAACAATACTGCGTGTTCTCTTTACTCGGGTGTCAAACTAGTCTGTGCCAGGAATTGCTGCCAGGAGCCCCTAGCTGGTTTGGATGACCAATACCAAATTGGCGGTCCCATATAGCTAATTCTCTACTTAGAATTGCTTTGAAGATGCGGTGAAAAAAAAAGTATTAGGGGTACGCTTCAATGGTGCATGTGTGAATATGCTTCATGGAGCTGGGGGCCACCGTGCTGAACCAACCTCAGGAGAATCTACTGAGCTGCATACTTATACACAGTACTGGAAAAGTAGCACGATATCTGCCATTATCCATGTTTAATATCCAGTGTAAAAAGATATTTATTATTGCAGGACAATTGCTAATCAATCAAGAATGTCGTGTTGGCCTACCACGACTCGCCCTCCCCACCCCAAAGATGGTCCATGGGCATGGCTTGTCTTGTCCTACTGTTTTTTAAATGGTGTTGTGATCGGGGGTATTGCTTTTGGTTATGGAGTCATCCTACCAGTTCTGATGGATGCTCTGCAAGAGAATAGGGAGCGAACAGGTAACTATATTTCTTGTGGGTAAAAGAATTCCAAATTTAGTTTAGTTCGCTTGTACATTTCTAGGCGCAGCTTTAATTAGTGCTGCAGCATGATTTTAGTTGAGGGATGGATCTTTTGATTATTGTTTCCCAAGCGATACGAAAAACAAAGCAGCCCGTGAAACAGAAAAAAACCTGTTCTCCTTTTCTTGCCTTTTCTACGAAGACCATCTTTATTCTCCGACTGGAGTCATTATTTTCTTTACAGCTGTTTTGCTTGTGGTCCCCTTTCAAGATAGTAGTCATTTCGACGTTGARGGGGAAAGTGGGGAAAGTTGGTATTGTAGAGTATTGTTGGACTTTCTTAGGGGACGATATAGACGCCATGCTGGAAATGTCCCGAAAACAGACCCACAATGCACTGCAATGCTCGACCCGATGTTTTCCTCGACCTCGGATCAAAATGGCTAATATAAACAAACAATAGTCATTTGCATGCAACACCGAAAAGGCATACGGTATTAGATGTCTTATTGCTGTTAAGGCTAAAATAGAAAGACGATAATGTACTTGTTGAATACTGAGACAATAAACGTTATTTGTTTAATTATTGATATATCTTTTCTTCCATTTCGTAGCTCTTGTGGGATCTCTCGCCTTGGGAGCAGGTCTCTTTCTCTGTGTTGTCTCGGCCAAACTTTGCGAAAAATTCAATTGTCGTTTCGTCAATGGTGTTGGATTAATATCGTATGTTATGGGATTCACCCTCAGTTCGCTGTGCAACTCCATCTATCCCCTCTACATCACATACAGCTTGCTTAATGGCTTTGCAGGGTCGTGTACTTATACTTCCAATTTCATTTTGGTGAGACAGTACTTCAAGAAACGATATTCCTTGGCTATGGGCATAGTTACAGCAGGGGCAGGAATCGGAATGCTATCGGTTGGTCCTTTGGTGCAGTACTTGACTGACACTCTTGGATGGAAAAACACTTTCCGAGTCTTCGCAGGAATCTTTGGAGCATTCATTCCTTTAACGATTGTTTTAGATCCAAATGTTGAAAGTTGTGAAGAGGTGCCAATTGAAACAGTTATGCAAGAGAATTCTATCGAGAAAGATATTAAGATCAAGCCAAGAAARATTGTATTGGGATTTTTGGATTTATCAGTGTGGACATTTCCAGAGTTCACGATCTCTGTTGTTGCTATTTTCATTGGTTCTTGGGGTCACTATACACCCTTGATTCATATGGTAAGAATTACATGTTCTGATGTCGATATTGGTGGTGATCTTGGTAGTGTTGGTGATGATGGTGGTGGTGATGTGGAACTGGAAGTTTGTGGTATTTTTGGTGATGGGGGTGCTAAGGTGGTTATGATAATGATGGTAGTGGTAAGGATGGTGATATCGATAATGAAGATGAAGATGGTGATGAAGATGAAAGATGGTGATGAAGATGTTGGTAATGTTGGTGGTGAACGTTATTGATAGCTTATCTGTTTTATCTCTTCTCATTTTCAGATCAAATACTCTGAAGAGGTGGGAATAAGCCCAACTAAAAGTTCCACCCTTCTCGTCTTCGTTGGCATAGCAACAATCGTCTCACGTCTGGTATCTGGTCGGTTATGTGACGTCAGCTTCATTAAACCAAGATACGTCCACCAAGCAGGAATCATCTTATCAGGAATTTCAACCATTCTCTTAACGTTTGGTGTCAACTACACTCATCTGATAATTTTTTCTGTTTTCTTTGGTATTGCTGATGGAGCATTTCGTCTGACGATGAACATTTTATTCATGAACACTGTTGATATTCCACGCAAACCCTCAGCCTTTGGTCAAGCGAATATGATAATTTCATTTTCTAATGCAGCTGGTCCAGCAATAGCAGGTTAGTTGTAAGAATAGCTTTTTGGAGTTCTTCAAGGATCGGTTATTGGTCCACTTTTATTTGGAAACGTTTATTGGTTTGTTTTTGCCATTTTAAAGAATCCTAGTCAATTACGATGCATTGCGCGCCGGAATCAAAACAATCGGCCATTTTCTCTGCCAGGCAAAATGGCGGTTTTGTAGGTGAAGTTTGAAAATCCAGTTCCATCGGTCTTGTTATTCCTGCAAGTTGCTTTAGGGTAATCATAAAATAATGATACGTAGTCATTTTATGCTTTCCATGAGATTTTTAAAGTTTTCCAACGAATGTAAGGTAGATTTCGAAAGTTGTGATGTCTAACAGATGGATGACCGAAAAGTCATAAGTCTCCAAGAGAATTTATCTGAAACATTCAACCTACTTGCTGTGAAATGCAAGACCTTGGCATATAGCAATTTTGCAGAAATGTTGCTTTACCAGTGCATGGAAGCGCATCGAGAACGATGTACACAAACGATGTAAACAACACTATACGCACGCATTGTATTGTAGTTGACTAGGATTCTTTAATGACTATGTCCAACCTTGTTTTAACAGGAATGATGGCAGACAAGTCTGGTTCGTATACTTCAGCATTCTACATGGCTGGATCGGTTTCCATTGTTGCAGGCGCCATCTTCTTCTTGCATCTCTGCTTCTTCAAAGAGCACAACAATAAACGAGAATTGGATATTTCTAATGCTACAGATCACCCGCTGGCTTGTGTTGGACCAGCATCAAGCGAGGCAGAGGAGGCATCGCTGCACACGATGATTACTATACTGGATGACTTACACAAACCAAGAACACCACTTAATACGAAAAAACCCTCGTCTGCAGAAGAACTGGAGTGAGCAAACTACCCGCCTGTAATTGTCTTGGAAATCAACAATATGGCCTGGACATATGGTCATCCCAGAGAGGGTTAGACAGGTTTAAATCAAATATTGCGCAATCTGCAATAATCCTGGTTATTCATTAGTGGGATTAATAGCTCCGAATAGCTGCTAATAGAATCTCTTTCTACATTGCTGCATTATTCACTTTAGCAAAATAGTTGAATTTCAAAAATAGTGAATTTCTGTCTGCACAGAAGTTCGCTATTTATTTGTGTCTATGCGTTGGCCAAATACAAACGTTGAACTCCACATGACACGAATCCAATGACATAAGAGAAGGCCGCCTTATTGTTCATTGCTTTCAATGCGTACGGCTCATTTGAAGCTGGACGTTTAACCTGAGCCTAATGGTCTGTAATGCAGCTTCTTAGACCGCTTCGCAGCTGCTGCAACCAGTTGTCCTGCGCCTGTGGTACCTGCTTATCAGCGGAGACACGATAAAAGATTTAGCATAATCGGATAAAACTTTATTTTTGTGAATATAAAACAGTAATTTTTTATACAAAACTAATTAATGGTCTATAAACTACATCGTGCTTGCCTTCCTCGTTTACAAGGTATAATTCTTAGTGTTAAAGCCAACAAGCATGGTTTTTATGGAAACCCTATCTCTATCATCAGTTAATTGTCACATTTGTAACTTCTATCATGTTGCGGTTTAACAATATCTACGTAATCGCAGCGGGTGCCCGTTTCTGCAGTGGCAAACAGGCTGCGATGTTGCCTAAGTAGAATCAACATCTATTGTCTGAATTCCTCTGCAAAGTTACCGGAAAACCATACTTTAGACAAAGGATGAATTGTCAGACATCCTCTCTCAGTTCCCGTCATTCAACACGCGCTTGCATATATTTCCCATCGTCACGTGGGGTGTGTATTTTCTCGGAACATCCTTGTATAATTATCTATAACGTATGCGCAGTTCTCTCATTCAAAAATTCAATTTTTAATTCTTCAATATTACTATTAGACGTCAAGCAAACCCGAAGCCTTCACATCCTTCGGTGATCGCGATGAGAAGTAGTCTTTGCATTTCTTCGAATGACGTGTAGTCGGCCAGACAAAGCTGGTTGAAACTGAAAACAAAGAGAATATTACTAGATGATACCGCAGGACATGAACGACTGGTTTGCAGACTCATTTAATAACTAAATCAATGAATCATTGACTGACGACTGGTGAGGAGTGGATGGCGGGTTAAAGAGTGCATGACGCTTGAGTAGTGGGGTAGTGAGTGAGCGAATGGGTAAGTGGGTGGGTGGGTGGATGGATGGGTCAGTAGGCGGATGAGTAAAAGGGTGGATGCATCATTAGGTGCATAGGATATCGAATGAGTGAACTGAGTGGGTGGGTGAGTTGATGGGTCAGTAGGCGGATGGGTGGGTGTATATTAATAGGTGCATAGGATATCGAATGAGTAAGTGGGTGGGTGGGTGAGTGCATGGGTCAGTAGGCGGGTGACTGAATTGGTGGGTGTATCATTAGGTGCATAGGATATCGAATGAGTGGGTGGGTGAGTAAGGAGGTGCGTAAGTTAGCTGATAGATGGGTTTGTGAGTGTGTGTGTGTGACAAGTGAGAGAGTGGGCGCGACAGGTTATCTGTTAGGTGGGCTTATGAAAGTGTGTGTGATAAGCCGTTGGTGTGTGCGAGTGGGTAGGTAGACATGTGAATGGGCGAATGCGTGTCAGTTATAAGGTTGTTTATACTAACCACGTGTGGGCTGTTGGTAGTGCATCAGTAGCAGGAAAATAGCTGATTTGTAATGTTGGTGACAATTCACTAAACCCTCCTGGTGGAAGCTGAGAACTACCAGTGATGAACTGAACTAGACGAGCGAGTTCCTCTTGTGTGAAGCTGGACACAATGGTCCAAAACCAATCAATAACCTGAACAGGAAAAAAGAATCGTGCGATATTAGATGATTTCTTTTTGGATGTCTGGCGCGCACCCTGGGCTCAAGAGGCCCTCTCGATCCAGTGTTTCCTCGATCTAGTTTGACCGAAAGGCACTGAGTCGAAAAATCCTTTTCAACGAAGAAGTACTGGAATGAGATAGGCCACTGTGAAGGCTGTGATCACTAGCTTTGATTATGGATGAAACTTCACATAGGAAAAGAAAAGATTTGGAAACTTAAGGTAAGAGGAAACAAGAAGAGCTTGGTATAAGAAAACCAATTTAGATTTGACTACGACTACGAGATACCACAACGAGTTTGTGGAAGATTTTTAGCGAACAAATCTCATATAGTTGTACTCGAACTCGTGGTCAAATCTAAATCTCCGTATTGATTCATTCACAGATCCCTAGAAACATTTCGTAAGGGAAAAAAGAGTTTTAAATTTCAGGAGAGCTGCAAGTACCTTACTCCAGGAGCCAGCTCGATACAGATCAATATGATTTGCCTTCATATCTGTTACACTGATATCACCAGTACCACACATCACCAACTGAAACAAATACAACCATTTTAGAGTGTTACTCAAGGACCACAGTCTGCTTTAACATGGGGACATTAGTACATTATCACATGTGAGTATAGAGTTGGTTAGGTCTCTCCCTTGATTCGAGGATTTTTCTCCGGTTTTCCTCCGGCTCCGCAAAACCTAACAAGCTAAGTTCCGATATCTGTTTCAGGGTATCGATAGAATTTGAAGGTTTTAAACCCGACGTGAATCAGTTAATTGTCTCTCTCTCGCATGACTTTATACTTCGTTGCTTTATTCTAAAAAATAAACGTCAATTTTTTTCGGATCCGAAATAATTTGGCATCAAGCCTGCGCACACATTTCTTGAAACTGTGGTAACAGAGAAGCGAAGGCCCTGGGACTAAGAATCACTGGTACTCAGTCTCCCGTTAATAATGAGCATGCGCAATRAACATTTGCCTTTTTCCAGCCACATTTATATTTCTTGTCATATTTCTCGTACCTCTAACTCATTCTCATCAAAAATACTCAGCAAACTGTCGGGTATGAGTTCGTTTAAACCTGAAAACATAACATCAAAACACAAGATATTCATCATACTTATTAATAACATTTGTCATTAATTTAAATTATTATTATCGTAGTGTACCTTTAAGGAAACTTTCTATTTCTTGTTGACAGCTGGTAACTAGTCGATATTGTGCCAACAGGTTTAGGTATTCAAGCTTGTTTTCTTCTGTTACTGGAATCTGGGCCCCTCCTGGCTTGAGTGCGACGTTCTGCAAGACAAACTTTACTAATGGCACATGACACAGCAAGACAGTGCGCATGCGCTTCAAGGTTTGTTAATGCAGTTTTCGTATGACTGTGAAAAGCTCAGTGCCGTAAGCGTGACGTGCCGTGACCGTGATACTTTCTGGAATTTTAATTGGCTGATTTTTTTCACGCGCAATATGATTGGTCTAATTTTGGCGTAACCGTGTCCGCGCCGTGTTTATGCCGTGTTCCGGGTACTTGATTGGATGGAGAGTAAATTCTCGTGCAATGTGATTTGTCTGGCGTATGCCTTGCTGTGTCACGACCGTGTTCGTGCCGTGAACTTTTCACAGTCATACGAAAACTGCACTATTCAATCCCTAATGATATTAAACACTTGTTGAAAATATTCTATAATTTCCAGCTGTAGCTTTACAATGTTTTTCAACAGTACAATTTCCCGTCGCGACAGAAAAAAGGATTTTGTCGACGTCAATGAAAGCGTTTCCATGACATGTCGTAAAACACAGTTTTAAAGGGCACGTGCCTATGGAATGTCATGGAAACGCCTCAGTGATTGACGTAACGTTGTCTTCCTGTGGGAGAAGCCAAAGGAACTGCTAACGTCAAATACAGTCAATTCAAAAAATGTTGTAGTCGACCAACTCAAGCCTACGCGACTGGACCGAAAGGAACTCTGGGTAGTAATCATTGAAGCCGAGTTGACTCCATAATTTTATCTGACTAGTTATGCCTGGTTTACAGCACGAACTTTCGTAGGCCTTCATATTTTTGAAATTGTGAACTGAATCCTAACTACTTTGTTTTTCTTTACCTAAACCCAAAGACATTGCATTTGATGGATTGTTTCTCGCCATCATTATCTTATTACTAGCGGGAACAATCAATTCAAAACAATATTTAACCGCTTCAGTGATTTTTACCCATATTCCTTTCGGTCCGGTCGCGTAGGCTTGAGCCGGTCGACGACAACGTTTTTTGGATTGACTGTATACTAAAGTACGTATTTTGTAGATGTTTCTAACCTACCTCGACCAGTTTTCCATCAATGTACTCTTCTTCAACAAACTTGAGATCCAAGTCAGCCGGATCATTTTCTTCGATGTACTTGATTTTACTTCGGTAGAAATCCTTGTCGTCTGTCTCAAAATGCTGCACCCAACCAGAGTGAATACAGGGTTAGAATTGGTGGTGACCTTACCGTTGAATCAAGCTCAACTACGTTTAAGAACCATTGGGTTAGGGTTAGGAACTCAAGATACTGTATATCAGTTGTACGTACCTTGTAAGTTACCCGCTGACCAAGTAGCTGAGCGAGAAACGAACGAGAAAACTTTGCTTTAATATTCTGTCTTCGCCCGGCTCCGACTGCAGACTCGTACATACATTTGCCAACAATACGGCCAGCGAACTCGTAGTATTTTAGCTTCAGATTAGCTGGACGTTTAGGATTAGGATGAACCTGGTCCGAAAAGAAACAAATTATATATGAGATCTTATCCTCAGTAAAACAGGTCAAAATGTGTGTTTTGATTGACAGGTACTTACTAGGGCTTGAGCGTCTTCCTCCTTGAAACGAGTGAAGAGCTTGTGCTCGTGTCCAAAGAGGATACCCGACAATAAATCGATCCATTCACGACGGACTCCACCCCAGTCCAGCCCTAATATAGAACACACGACAATAAATCAATCCATTCACGACGGACTCCACCCCATTCCAGCCCTAATATAGAACACACGACAATAAATCGATCCATTCACGACGGACTCCACCCCCATCCAGCCCTAATATAGAACACACGACAATAAAT